CGCGGGGGCTGGGGGGGCTGACCCCGGTGCAGGCCACAGGCTCACCTCCTCGCCGGCAGGGTCGCTCGGTGAGGGACGGCACCTTGCGCCGGGCGCAGCGCCGAAGCTTCACCCCCGCCAGCTTCCTGGAGGAGGACACGGCGGACTTCCCCGATGAGCTGGACACCTCCTTCTTCGCCCGGGTAAGAGACAGGCTGTCCGCCGAGGCCTCCGCCACCCTCCGTCTGTGCCTCAGGCTGACCACTCGTGTTTGCTCAGGAAGGTGTCCTCCACGAGGAGCTGTCCACGTACCCAGATGAGGTGTTCGAGTCCCCGTCAGAGGCAGCGCTCAAGGACTGGGAGAAGGCCCCGGACCAGGCGGACCTCACGGGTGGGGCCCTGGACCGCTCGGAGCTGGAGCGCAGCCACCTGATGCTGTGAGTGGCGGCGGTGCGGGAGCAGAGGGGGTGCGGCGGTCAGGAGCAGCTGGGACCCCAGGGCAGACTGCCTGCGGAGCCGAGGGAAGGGGTCTCCTTGGCTACTGTGGCGGGACCCAGGGCTGGGCGCCATTCGAGTCTCAGCTGCCCACCGTGGAACAGGAGCGCCGTCCAGAGCCCTCAGCTGGTCGGAAGGCGGCGGGGAGGCCAGGGGACCGCTCAGGTCTGGTCCCCGCTCCCTGCCATCCCGGAGGGGCTCAGGATGGCTCTTCACTGGCGAGGGGGAGGGCGCGCAGTGTCTCACCTCTACCCGGGAGCAGACGGAGCTGCGGGCAGGACCCGGCCTGGGGTGGGAGCTGACGGTGCCCCTCCCCCCAGGCCCCTGGAGCGCGGCTGGCGGAAGCAGAAGGAGGGTGGCCCCGCGGCCCCGCAGCCCAAGGTGCGGCTGCGCCAGGAGGTGGTGAGCACGGCGGGCCAGCGGCGGGGCCAGCGGATCGCGATGCCGGTGCGCAGGTTCTTCGCCAGGGAGAAGCGGCCGTACGGGCTGGGCATGGTGGGCCGGCTCACCAACCGCACCTACCGCAAGCGCATCGACAGCTACGTCAAGCGCCAGATCGAGGACATGGATGACCACAGGTGGGGCCGGGGGATGGGACTGAGGGCCCGCAAAGCTCCGGGTGGGGCTGGGGGCCCCAGGTTGGAGCCACCGCCTCTGCTGATGCTTCTGCCGCAGGCCCTTCTTCACCTACTGGCTCACCTTCGTGCACTCGCTCGTCACCATCCTCGCCGTCTGCATCTACGGCATCGCACCCGTGGGCTTCTCGCAGCACGAGACGGTGGACTCGGTGAGCCCCGCGCGCTTCCTGGGCCGAGACCAGTGAAGTCTGGGCTCTGGGAGGAAAGGGCCGCAGGGGGCGGCCTTTGACCTCTCGCCCCAACTTCCCAGGTGCTGCGGAACCGAGGGGTCTATGAGAATGTCAAGTATGTGCAGCAGGAGAACTTCTGGATCGGGCCCAGCTCGGTGAGGGTGGGGCCGGCAGGGCGACGGGCGAGGACCCCGCGCGGGCGGGGGCTGGGCCTCAGCTGCACATCCCGCCCCCCGCAGGAGGCTCTCATTCACCTGGGCGCCAAGTTCTCGCCCTGCATGCGCCAGGACCCGCAGGTGCATAATTTCATCAGCAAGGCGCGGGAGCGGGAGAAGCACTCGGCCTGCTGCGTGCGCAATGACCGGTCGGGCTGCGTGCAGACCTCGGAGGAGGAGTGCTCGGTGCGTGCCCGGCCCGCCGCCAGCCCTTGTCTGCGCCCCTGGGATGGGGTTATGCTGTGACTTCAGATGGAGCCGGGTGTCCCTTATCCTAGGTCTTGGCACATGGCACCACCCTCTGTGCCAGGTCCCTCACGTCACATTCATCACTTTTCATCCCCAATTCCTCCTCCTCATCCCGTAGACAACCACTGTGAGGTCTTTGATTTGGGTGTGCTTTCTGTGTGGCTTGTTTTGAGGCATGTCTTAAGTTTCCCTAAGCGGTATTGCCTTATTTTTTCCACTAAACAATTATAAAAAAAAAGATTCATTCAAGTTTTTATTACATCATTTTATGAGGAGGTACCGAAGTGTATGCCAGTCCCTGGTTTTGGACACTGGTTGTTTTTAGTTTTAAGTGAATAGGAATTATGCTCTTGAGCTGACAGTAGACACTCCCATACGCACACACATTTCCGGAGTGTGCATTTGTAGATTTTGGGTTGTGGGCTCAGGGGGATCTCAGTGGTTTTGCTTTTGCCTCCTGCCTTCTGGAAGCTGTGTTGCGGGAAGGGTGGGCTCTGACCGGACACACTCTTCCCACAGTCCACGCTGGCAGTGTGGGTGAAGTGGCCTTCCCACCCCAGCGCCCCCGACCTCGCCGGCCACAAGAGGCAGTTTGGTTCTGTCTGTCACCAGGACCCCAGGTCAGTCCTGCTGGCCCCGCTCTTGCCTCCCTGGGAAGTGGGGGGAGAGGGTGTGGCTGCTCCCCTTGTGGAGGTGGGCAGAAGGGCACAGAGCAGGGTCTGACCGCACACTGGGCTCATGCAGGGTGTGTGACGAGCCCTCCTCTGAGGACCCCCATGAGTGGCCAGATGACATCACCAAGTGGCCGGTGAGCCGGGATATTGTTGGCTTTGGGGGCCACCCTTATTATGTGGGGGAGAAATCCACACTCATTTGGATACCAAGAGGCCCACCATGGGAGCACCCGTTTTCAGATGCAGTGCCCCTGGCCTGTGCCTGGCCTGCCCCTCCACACCTGCTTGTCTGAGCAGGTCGTCAGAGCAGAACCAGGGAGAGACAAATGCCATTATTTCAATTGGACAGATGGGAAAGCTGCGGCTCAGTCCGGGCCTGCTTTCTCCCGTGGGAGCCTGACCGTCTTTGCCCCAAGCCCCAAGCACGGTGTTGGGGCACAGGGCTGGAGGCGGCCCCAACCCAACTCATCCCCTTTGTGATCCAGATCTGCACCAAAAGCAGCGCCGGGAACCACACCAACCACCCCCACATGGACTGTGCCATCACAGGCCGGCCCTGCTGCATCGGCACCAAGGGCAGGTGGGTGTGCCTGGGCCCGAGCACTGCTCCGGGGCTCTGCGCTTCTCCAAGTCCTGGAATAAGGCGAGATACGCAGGGGTGGGGGTGAGGGAGGCTCTGGGCTTACCCAGGGAGGACAGAGATGGGCGCGTGGGCTGCAGCCTGGGCCTGGGCGGTGCAGCCAGGTGCCTGTGCCCCGGGCCCCAGCCCCTCGGCCAGTTCCCAAGCCGGGCCTGCCCTTGCAGGTGTGAGATCACCTCCCGGGAGTACTGTGACTTCATGAGGGGCTACTTCCACGAGGAGGCCACGCTCTGCTCTCAGGTAGGCCTCCAGGGTGTGTGCGTCCCCTCGCCCCCAGCCACGGAGCGCGCTGACAGGCCACTCTGCGCAGGTGCACTGCATGGATGACGTGTGCGGGCTCCTGCCCTTCCTCAACCCCGAGGTGCCCGACCAGTTCTACCGCCTGTGGCTGTCCCTCTTCTTGCACGCTGGGCAAGTGACACCAGACGGGCCGAGGAGGGTTGGGTGGTCTCAGGGACCCCAGGAGTGGCTGGCCAGGGGATGGTGGAGGGGAGGCCTTCCCGGCTGAGTGTCCCCCTCCCCCCACAGCATCCTGCACTGCCTGGTGTCCGTCTGCTTCCAGATGACTGTCCTGCGGGACCTGGAGAAGCTAGCAGGCTGGCACCGCATAGCCATCATCTACCTGCTGAGTGGCATCACTGGTAACCTAGCCAGTGCCATTTTCCTGCCATACCGGGCAGAGGTAAGGCCGCCCCAGGGACCCAGCCCAGGAGCGTCTCCACCATTCGGCTCCTCGGTCCTGCTATGCTCTGGGCCATGAGAGGTGGGGTGGCTGTGGGTCCAGGGGTCCCGCTCAGCATTCCCACTGCCCCCAGGTGGGCCCGGCCGGCTCGCAGTTTGGCATCCTGGCCTGCCTCTTCGTGGAGCTCTTCCAGAGCTGGCAGATCCTGGCCCGGCCCTGGCGCGCCTTCTTCAAGCTGTTGGCGGTGGTACTCTTCCTCTTCACCTTTGGGCTGCTGCCCTGGATCGACAACTTTGCCCACATCTCGGGCTTCATCAGCGGCCTCTTCCTCTCCTTTGCCTTCCTGCCCTACATCAGCTTCGGCAGGTTCGACCTGTACCGGAAGCGCTGCCAGATCATCGTCTTCCAGGTGGTCTTCCTGGGCCTCCTGGCCGGCCTGGTGGTCCTCTTCTACTTCTACCCCGTCCGCTGCGAGTGGTGCGAGTTCCTCACCTGCATCCCCTTCACCGACAAGTTCTGTGAGAAGTATGAGCTGGACGCCCAGCTCCACTGAGAGGGTGGGGGCGCTGGGGCCACGGGCCTCCAGCAGGCTGGAGCCAGGCACTGCCCACCGAGCCTCACGCCACGGGGCTGTCAGCAGGCCCTGGGGGCGTCCTGCCCGTTTCCTGGACACAGACCAATTGTGCCTCGTTCACTGCTGTTGAACCTCTCGTACTTCCGGGCATTTATTACACTAGTTCCTGTGATTACCTTCTAACTAGTCTCCTGACGACCACCTCATGTGGCCAATAAATGGACTGGGAGCGTTTTAGCTGCCACTAACTTGACCAGAGCTGCCTCCTCCTTTCTGACAGGAAGTGTCTCAGATTCCTCCCCGAGGGAAGTCCGTAATCCAGGTGGACCCACCTTGCTCCCTTTCCTTAAGACCCATGGAGGAGCGGTCACGTTTCCCCACACACACTTACAAGGGCCCCAACTCCAATTTCAGCCCCAGGCTACCTCCCCTTCCAGGAGCCGGGAGGGCCTGAGGTGGATGAACCCCGTGGGCTGAGGCCGGAGGCCGGCCATGGCCGTGCTCTCACACACAGGCTCCCGTTTCTCCACAAGCAGGAGCAGAAGCCAGCTGCTCTGCTGTTATCTTCTCGCTATAGAGCTCATAGTCACAGGGTCGTGTGGCATCTTAGACTCAGGCCATTCTCTGCCCCTTGCCTCCCCGACGATGGGGCTGCGCCAGGCCCTCATGTCCCGGTACTGTGGCTTTTTGACTTTTCAAACTAGAAAGCAAAGAGATTTATTCCGTACAGAGGGCCAGGCCCACAGCCTGTGGGATCGGCTGTGAAATTAGGGTGTTTGGGCCCAGAAGGGGTCAAACTTGGGTCTTGACACTGGCTCACCCAGTCCCACTCCCGAGGCCGGGGCTCACACCGGCAGTGCCAGCTGTGCCCAGCTGGGCGAGTCCATCTCAGCACTCTCCTGTGAAGAGGGGACAGTGCCCGAGGCGTCCTCCCGCTGGGCCACCGGCACAGAGTGTCCCTGTTTGGAGGGTCATTTCTGCCTCAGTTTTTTGATGAAGGACACCTCATCCCGGTTCCGGATACCATAGCTGGAAGAGAAGGATAAGTGTCCAGTATCTAACTACAGAAGGCTCTGTCTGACTCCTCACCTGGGGCTTGTGAGAAACCAAGCAAGAGCAGGTGGGAAGAGTGTGGGGTCCAGGAAGGCAAGGCGGGGCAGTGCCACCCTCCCACAGGCCCCACCGGGCCAGCAGACAGCCTTCCCCTCCACGCACACTCTTCCTCCCTCTTCCTGGCTCGGTGGGGTCCTGACCTGCCACGCCCTGCAGCTCAAGGAAGTGGCCTAAACTTACTCCCGGAGCTTTTTCCTGTCGTCTGTGAGCTTCTCTCCCGCAGAGGTTAGATGGTATGTCCTCCAGACATAGGACCTGCACGAGAGGGATTAGGGAAACCGTGAGCAGGGGGAGCTGAGTGGCTGGGACATACTAGTAGAAGCTGTGTGAGACGGGCTCTCCGTGCGTAGCCCCAGCCCCTCGGCACAGAGCACCAGCCCCGTCTGAAGGATTGCGACAGGAGCTAGCTCTTCGCTCCAGTCAGTACTTGTAGCAGAGACCAGGTGATTAAGAAGCACAAGTCCAGCGGTGCTCCCGTGGAGCCCCACACCACCCCCAGGGAGGGCTGCAAGGAGCCGCGGCTTCACCTACCAGCTGATGTGCTGGATGCCCCCCTCACGCTCCTGCCGGAGCTGCACGTATCGCTGGATGGCCTTCTTCAGGTCCAGGACTGTGGCGTTCTGCACCACAACCACAGCTGCAACAAGGGGCACCCGTGAGGGAAGATCCCACAGCCACAGCCACAGCCACAGCCTCAGGTGGTGGGAGAGGAACCCAGAAGCCCTGTCCAGCCTTGTTTCTGACTGAGGCTCAGGTCCAGGCGGATGGGCTTGTAGATGGCCGCTCGGTATCCCGCTGACCAGCCCCTGTGGAGGCTCAGCCTGCCTGGCCGGAAGGGAGGAGGGCAGCACTTACGCATGACTTCTCCATCCATCTTGCACACGCGGACTGTCATTGCTTGGCCATATTCCAGGGCTATTTGGGAATTGACCTCTTCCAAAGTAACCTAGAAAAGACCCAGGGTGGAGGTGAGTGCCTGTCTCCGTAACACCCCAAACAACAAGGAATACGCTGGGAGTGTCCAGAACGTGGTCATATTTTAGGAAGGACAAGAACGGGGTCTTGCTTACATATTAGGGCAGCGGTTCTCAACCTGTGGGTCGCGACCCCTTCGGGGGTCGAACGACCCTTTCACAGGGGTCGCCTAAGACCATCGGAAAACACATATATAATTACATATTGTTTTTGTGATTAATCACTATGTTTTATGTTCAATTTGTAACAATGAAATTGGGGGTCACCACATGAGGAACTGTATTAAAGGGTCTCAGCATTAGGAAGGTTGAGAACCACTGTATTAGGGCTTCCCAGTTTCTTAGCACCTCGAGCTCATGTTTCATCCAAATTTCCTATTTAAAGTCCAAAGTGGACGGAAGCTTGGAAGAAAGGAACATAGACACAGGCAAGAACGAACAGCCCGGGATCCTCTCACCCGGGGCTGGGTAGGAGGAGCACTGAGCTTGTCATTCATTCCGAGCCCCGATCACCAATCAGGACCCAGATCAGGGCCTCGGGACAAGGTTTTGGCAGGCGTGCAATAACAAACGCTGTAATACAATTTTTAAGAAAACAGAAGTTAAACTCCATGATGGACAAAATAACATTGAAGTTTGAGATGGGAAAAACCAAGTAATACTGACATAGTCTTTATTAGTTTGCTTGCCACAGGCTTTTTTACACCAACTTGAGTTATAAACATACTGTATTAAAATGTCATGTGTCCCCGAAAGAAAAAAACAAAAAAGAAGGCATGTATCCTGGCTGCTGGAGGGGTCTGGAGCCTTTTAAATCTCGCGCCCAGGGCAAGAGCCTCGCTCGCCCCACCCGCGGCCCGGCCCAGGTTAGGACCCCGTTTACACCCAGAGGTGCCTTACGAGGCCTCTGGGTCGCAGCCCCACCAGCCCCGGGACCTGTCCACGCCCCTCGCACAGCCCGGCAGGGGACGCGCGCACCTGGATGGGCAGGTCGCAGAGCAGCGGGTCCTGCACCACCATGGCGAGACCCTCCTGGAACACGTCCACCGCCTCGGAGTGCGGCAGCGCCTCCTCTTCGTCCTCATCGTCCTCACGCGCCTCGGGCCGTGCCGCCGCCGCCTCCGGCTCAGCCTGCGCCTCCTCCAGGGCGGCTCGCTGCCCCACGCGCCCCGGGCCGCACCACCGGTCCGCGGGAGCCCGCCTGCGCCTCCTCCAGGGCGGCTCGCTGCCCCACGCGCCCCGGGCCGCACCACCGGTCCGCGGGAGCCAGGCTGGGCGCGCACAACCGGAAGCACAGCACGCACTTCCGCAATGGGCGTGTGGGGGCGGGGCTTCCGCGAGAGCCAATAAGTGCGAGGCCTTCCGCAGAGCTCGCTGGGAGCGCGAAGCCGGCGTGCCTATTGGTGGGCTGAGGGGTGGAGCCAATGAGAGCTGTAGGCGGGCCTAGTGTCGGCGCCTGAGCAACCGCGAGGGCTGCGGGACCTGCGGGGCGGCAGTCATGCTGCTCTTCTGCCCCGGCTGCGGGAATGGGCTCATCGTGGAGGAGGGACAGCGCTGCCACCGTTTCGCCTGCAACACCTGCCCCTACGTGCACAACATCACCCGCAAGGTGGGTCCCGGAGCCTGGCGGGGGCCCGCGCGTCTCCCACAGGCCTCCCGCGGCGCTCCCCGCCCGCCGTCCCGGGTCCGCCTCCACCCGCCGTTCTGTCACCCGCGTCCCGTCGTCTCTGCCTTGGAGTCCCCCTAGAATCCGGCCCTAGAATCGGTCCCTCCCCAGTGCCTTCACCCTGGTTATCACCGTTCCCTCCCCCGGGGCTCCGTGCTCGCAGGTGCCCCCTTCGCTGTGGTCACAGCGGCGGCCAGAGTGGCGCCCGAGTCGGATGAGCCGGTCCCGTGTCCAGGACCCTCGGCAGGCAGTCCCCGCGCAGAGGGAAGCTGGCACCGAGCCCTCTCCCGAGCCTCGCTTCTCTGAGTCCGCGTCCCGAGGTGCTGCTTGGCCCCAGCAGCACCCCAGCCTCTTGGAGGACCTCCCGTCCCGCGGCCCCATTGCCGGGGCCTGCATGCCAACAGGTCTTCACATTCCAAGGCAGTGCTGCTCCCCGGCAGCGAGAACATGGCTTTCATTCAGCAGCTCTCCAGGCTGTGGCAGGAGGGGCGGCTGGGGAGGGAGGCCCTCGCGGGCAGGGGTGGGGGCTGGGTGTGATGGCCCAGATCTGTATGTTCACCGACGTGCAGCGTTTGAAGACTTGCCGTTGTCTGCAGGTGACGAATCGGAAGTATCCGAAGCTGAAAGAAGTGGATGACGTGCTGGGTGGGGCGGCCGCCTGGGAGAACGTGGACTCCACGGCAGGTGAGAGGGGAGGCTTGTGCATTGCTGAGCTGTGGGTGAGCCCGAGCTGCTGGCTGCTGCTGCATGTCAGAACCTGTGACCGCTTATGTGAGGGGGGCTTCTAAAACCAGAAAGTGCGTTTGTTTTTTTTTAAGTAACTTACTTGTTGCACAGATAATACTGGCACAGGCCTTGGTGCCACACAGACCTGAGTTAGAGACTCGGGGTGACTTCTTCCTGTTTGACGGCCTTGGGCCCCTTGACCTCTCTGGGGCTAATTTATACTCATAAATTGTAAGAGCACAAAGCGAATTATGCAGTGTTTGGCATGTCACGGGCACTGAACATGTGGTAGCTATGATAGCAACACTGACAGGAGCAATAGAAATCAGTCTAAGGGGAAAAAATATCCTCTTTTTGTTCTAATGCAGAGTTTTAAAAGTTAATACCAGAGAGCATTAAACTACAGTCTCAGTAAAATGAATGTTTATTTCAAGTATTGGTTTATTTCTGATAGAGGTTTATTTCTGACCAAAGAAGGACAGAGAGCCCTACACACAGCCAGTATTGATAGGAGGAAGAGCTAAGTCATGATTAGTACTCTCTTTTTTTTTTTTTTTTAAATATATATTTTATTGATTTTTTACAGAGAGGAAGGGAGAGAGATAGAGAGTCAGAAACATCGATGAGAGAGAAACATCGATCAGCTGCCTCCTGCACATCTCCCACCAGGGATGTGCCCGCAACCCAGGTACATGCCCTTGACCGGAATCAAACCTGGGACCCTTGAGTCCGCAGGCCGACGCTCTATCCACTGAGCCAAACCGGTTTCGGCATGATTAGTACTCTCTTTCCTCTATAGATGAACATCCAAATCTGCTATGTTAAAAATTTAGCAATGGTAGAATTTGTCATTAAAGAATGGATTATGGCTCTAGCTGGTTTGGCTCAGTGGATAGAGCATCAGCCTGTGGACTGAAGGGTCCTGGGTTTGATTCTGGTCAAGGGCACATGCCCGGGTTGTGGGCTCAATCCCCAGTGGGGGTTTTGCAGGAGGCAGCCAATCAATGATTCTCTCTCATCATTGATGTTTCTATCTCTCTCTCTCCCTCTCCCTTCCTCTCTGAAATCAATAAAAATATATATATTTTAAAAAGAATGAATTATGTATCAAATGTTCAGAATGGTGGTGTGAGAGTGTTTGGAGGTGTTTTCATCAAGAGCGGGGTTGGTTTCTCAAAGTGAGATCACTCTGAAGGTAAATATGTGCCTCGGCGCACTCTGAATAGGCGTGGACTGCGTGGTGAGGTCTCGGTAAGAACAGCTGAGATACTAACTGCCAAAATGGATCCCTAAACACAAGAGGAAGTGGATTGGTCATCCATGGGGTTTTCTCTGGGGGGATGAGAGGGCTTGTCTGCTGCCCAGGTGATGGGTGTGCACCTGGAATGGAGGAGGCGGAATCTGCAGGCGTGGACCCTGTCATTCACACAACAGCCATAAGTCACCTTGTGTGTTTTGTTTCCAACCAGCCTTCCACCAGATTTGAGAGGAAAAGTGGGACCCAGGGAGGGGAGGAGGGGTGTTTTCAAACTCCTGGATTCCCTCAGTGTGAGAGCATATTGGGAATGAGACGAGACCACTGTTTGTACCTTATATCAGGGTACAAGGGACACCAGATAAGCGAGGAAGGTCTTTGCTGTCATTCGCCTTAACACCTACGTCTAACAGGTATGTTGGTCACAAACATTTTTTTAATGTGGGTCCCTTGTTTGTTTTTCTCGTTTCTAGAGCCGTGTCCCAAATGTGAGCATCCGCGTGCCTATTTCATGCAGCTTCAGACCCGCTCTGCAGACGAGCCCATGACCACCTTCTACAAGTGCTGCAATGCGCAGTGTGGACACCGCTGGAGGGACTAGGGCCAGGCTGGCCCAGCTGTGTGGTGTCTGTTTACCTTATTCCTCAGAGTGGGTTTCCATCTGGGAGCGAGCACTTGTGTCCTGAGGGCCTTTGCTGGTGTGGCGGAAATGGGTAGCCCATCTGCTGTTGTTGGCCTGGGTGTCCGGAAATGGATAGCCCATCTGCCAATCAGTGGATGAACTCATTAATGTCCAGGGAGATTTTGCATGTGGGGAAGATTATCCACAACTAATTATACTCTGTTTAAGGTCCTGTTCATTCATCGTTCACATTTATTGGGCAATTGACATTCTTTTACCATCACCAACACTCTTAAATATTTATATTGTTTGCATAACTAATAAAGTAGAACATTAATTTAGTACATTAGTTGTTCCTAAATATTTAACTGTTAAGTGCAAACTTAATTTAATCAAAATTTATTCTGAATATTTAATTAAAATGAAAAGTTTAATATTGCCTTCTCAGTGTTTTAAATGACTTAAGAAGTAGATGTCAAACCACAAATCATGATTCCAAACTTAACTACTATACTTAGGACTAAACCGGTTACAAAATTTATAATAATGTGGATTTAAATTTTTTATTTCTATTCTTCTTATCATTACACTAAATATATTAGGTACTATGTTTTTATACTTTGTGTTTTCTTCTTCCACTCCGGAAAGAAAAAGGACACTTTAAACTAGCTTGGGGCAGCCCTGGCCGGTATGCGCAGGTGGTTGGGTGTCATCCTGTGCACCAAAGGTTGGTGGCTAGATCTCCCGTAGGGGGCGAGCAGGAGGCAGCCGATCAATGATTCTCTCATTGATGTTTCTATCCCTCTCTCCCTCTCCCTTCTGCTCTGAAATCAATAAAAATATATTTTTAAAAAAAGAAAATAATGGATACCATTTTGTTTAATTGGGGATCAAAGTTAGTAGTGTTCCTTGTCATCAAAATTTAATGCAAATGTGATGTTAATGCTAGTTAAGTATGTGGATTCATGGTTGACATTCAGTACTGATGAGAGATCAAATATTTCCCTCAAAGTACTTGCTGATGATTGATACTGTGAAAAACCATAGCCTTTAAGCACTTTATGTTTTTACAAGCTTTGTAAATTTGCCCACCTTTTTCATGATTCATGTATATTTTTTACCACCGTCAATGATAACACATATTAGCAGATTTCACTTCAACTTCTACTGAATTAGTATCTCCTCAACTTTGAAAACGTTCTTGCCTGCAGTGGTTCGTTGTTCCTTGCAGACTGTGCATAGAGGCCAAGATATGGAACCAACCTAAGTGTCCACTGAAAGATGGCTGGATAACATTGTGGTCCAGATATACAATGAAATATTACTCGGCCATGAAAAAGAATGAATTCTTACCATTTGCTCAGTCCACTTCCAAACTCAGTGTTGGGTGTTGACTCCTCGAAGACACAAACAACCATTGGGCAATTTCACTAACATCTGCAGATTCAGCAAGAGCCAAGAAAAATGACTTCAAAGCATTCACCTCATTTTTAATTGACCATTAATGTTGCTGCCGGTGTCCTTAAGTTTTGTTTTTTTAAAAAAATATATTTTATTGATTTTTTACAGAGAGAAAGGGAGAGGGATAGAGAGTTAGAAACATCGATGAGAGAGAAACATTGATCAGCTGCCTCCTGCACATCTCCCACTGGGGATGTGCCGGAAACCAAGGTACATGCCCTTAACCAGAATCGAACCTGGGACCCTTGAGTCCGCAGGCCGACGCTCTATCCAGTGAGCTAAACCAGTCAGGGCTCCTTAAGTTTTAAGACAACTGTTTTCACCTAAAGGCTGATCGTCTTAATTTCATTTTCTTGGGACACACTTCTTTAGCTGCAGCAATCAAACACAATTAAGTCACCATAAGTAAGTAGATTTCCTTGCTTGGTGAACAAATGAACCACTTGGAAATTTAATTTGGTTGTCTTGTTTTAACTTTTAATTTTTGTGAAGAAATTTGTTGTGTATGGAGAATAGTGCCAGCGATGGGTGCTTAGTCTGGTCATGTCAACTAGCTGTGGTGTCACTGCACAGTAAACACAATCCTTTGCCATCCAATTTGATGACAAAATAATCCACTCTACACCATGTCTTAAAAGCGTAATGTTTATGTAAGTTCACTTAAAAATTTTTTAATTTTTTTAAGTTGAGGTAACATTGCTAATAACGTTATATGTAAATTTCAGGTGTACGGCATTATTTGATACCTGGATACTCTATTGAGTGCTCATTCCCAAAAATCTAGTTTCCTTGCATCACCATATATTGGACCTCTTTTACCCATTTTGCCTCCCCCACCCTATTTCACCTCTAGTAACTACCATTCTGTTCTCTGTGTCTATGAGTTTGTGTTTTGTTCATTCATTTGTGAGTTTTTTCTTTTATATCCCACATATGAGTAAAATCATATGGTTTTTGTCCTTTTCTGTCTGACTCATTTCACTTAGTATAATACCCTCTAGGTTCATCCATGTCACAAATGGTAAGAATTCATTCTTTTTCATGGCCGAGTAATATTTCATTGTATATCTGGACCACAATGTTATCCAGCCATCTTTCAGTGGACACTTAGGTTGGTTCCATATCTTGGCCATTATAAATAATGCTGCAATGAAAATAGGGGTACATATATCTTTTAAATTAATGTTTTCATATTCTTAGATAAATACCAAGAAGAGGAATTGCTGGATCATCTGGTAGTTATATTCTTTTTTAAAAAATATATTTTTATTCATTTCAGAGAGGAAGGGAGAGGGAGAGAAAGAGAAACATCAATGATGAGAGAGAATCACTGGTCGGCTGCCTCCTTCACACCCCCTACTGGGGATCAAGCCCACAACCCAGGCATGTGCCCTTGACCAGAATCAAACCTGGGACCCTTCAGTCCGAAGGCCGATGCTCTATCCACTGAGCCAAACCAGCTAGGGCTGGTAGTTATATTCTTAATATTTTGAGGAACTTCTGTACTGTTTTCCACAGTAGTTGCACCAATTTACAATCCCACCAACAGTGCACCAGGGTTCCCTTTTCTCTACATCCTCACCAACACTTATTTCTTGTCTTTTTGATAATAGCCATTCTGACAGGTGTGAGGTTTTGATTTGCATTTCCCCCATGATTAGTGATGTTCAGAGTTTTTATTTTATTTTATTTTTATTTTTTTATTGATTTCAGAGAGGAAGGAAGAGAGAGAGAGAAAGACAGAAACATCCATGATGAGAGAGAATCATGGATTGGCTGCCTCCTGCAAGTCCCCCACTGGGGATGGAGCCTGCAACCCAGGCATGTGCCTTTGGCAGGAATCGAACCTGGGACCTTTCAGTTCGCAGGCCGATGCTCTATCCACTGAGCCAAACTGGCTAGGGCCAGAGTTCACTTTTTATTTATTTACTTACTTGTTCACTTATTTATTTATTTAAATCCTCACCTGAGGAGAATATGTGGTGAGAGAGAGAGAGAAAAAGAGAGAGAAACATTGATGTGAGAAAGAAACATTGATCGGCTGCCTCCCACATGCACCGATTGAACCCACAACCCAGGTGTGTGCCCTGACCAGGAATTGGACCCACAACCTTTTGGTATACAGGATGATGCTCCAACTAACCGAGGCACCTGGCCAGGGCTAGAGTTCACTTTTCTTGTTTTGACATTATAGGTGTGCACTGGTAAGAATCAGAAAAAAATAAATGTTGCAGCACAACAGTAAGGTGGCCCTTGAGATGCTGAGTGATGATCACACCACTGAGCTGTAAGTGTGCCGAGTGGCCTTTGAAACACTTGTCTTGTCACACTCAATGCTGCGTTATAGAGTGAAAGCAGCTGCAGGCAGTGCAAATAACTGAGTGTGGTTGTGCTTCAGTAACGCTGTGGGCGATTCATACTTCTAGCAATAAAGATTAAACAAAAAAGAAAAACTATGGATGCTGACATTTGAATTTTATAATATTTTCATGTGTCATGTAATTTCTAAAGCCATCCCCTCCCCCAACCATTTAAAAATGTATATGCTATTTTTAGCTCACAGGTTTTTTAAAAAAAAATATTTTATTGATTTTTTTACAGAGAGGAAGGGAGAGGGATAGAGAGTTAGAAACATCGATCAGCTGCCTCCTGCACACTCCCCACTGAGTATGTGCCCGCAACCAAGGTACATGCCCTTGACTGGAATCGAACCTGGGACCCTTCAGTCTGCAGGCCGATGCTCTATCCACTGAGCTAAAACCGGCCAGGGCTAGCTCACAGTTTTTTGTTAAAAAAAAAAAAAAAAAAAAGGGTGGGCTGGATTTTGCCTGTGGGCTGTAGTTTGCTCACACCTGGTGTATCTCATAGGGTTGTGAGAATTTATGTTGCTTGTTCTTTGTGTCTGATGCTTTCCCTCTGTCCATGGAGGTTGTTTTCTATTTATCTCCAGTTATTATGGGAGGAGGTGGGATGTCAGGTGCCATCAGTGTATTTTCTTGGCAAAGAGGCACTGACTGGCCTTCCCAAGTCTTACGTGTCCCGTGAAGGACTCTGTGAGTAGATGCCTCTGCCAGTACTGCCTGGCACAGTGCAGGTGGGGGAGCGAGCCGACCTGCCCCGCTGTCCCACATGTAGGACTCACCAATCCTGGTGATTGTCCGGGACCAGCCTGGCCCCCTTTCACCGCCCAGGGAGGGCACCGTGTCGACTTCCTCAGATGCCCTCGCCTGTGTGTTGTTTAGGATGTGATTTCCTGGGTCAATCCGCTCAAATACCAATCGCCTCGCTTCCTTCAGAGATTCCTTCTGGTTAAGGCTCCATCTTGTTTTCTGTGTGGTTACGATGTATCCCTTTTGTTTAAGATGCTATATTTTTCACTCATATACTTTCTTTTTGGTTCTTTTTTTAGTTGCGATTTCTCTGAGGTTTCCTATTTATACATTGGGGGCATAGTTTCCTTTATATCTTTGAGGACAGAGTAGCTGCTTTAAAACCTGTGCTATTTCTAACCATTTAGTTTTGGGAATCTGTCTCTATTGCATGTCTTTCCTCTTATGTATGGGTTACATAGTTCTGTTTCTTCATATGTTTAATGGTTTTGGATTTATTTGGAAATTGTGAATGGATTCTGGTACGTTTCTCTGAAGAGTTTTTGTTTTTTTTTTAACAGGTTACAAACTCTGTGTGTCTTATGTGGGCAGCAGTTGCAATCTCTGTTCAGGTTGTTTAACCTTTGCTGGGCTGCCGGAATGGGCTTGTGCACATGTAGGTCAGGGGTCATTCAGAAATTTTGGTAGAGCTTAGTTGCAGAATTTGGGGTCTCCTCTCTGGCGTTTTTCTTTCCACGGTTCATTCCCTTTCCAGCCTTTGTGGTCTCCTCTTTGGGATCATGGTGTAGGCCAGGGGTGGGCAACCCCTGGCACGTGTGCCAAACATGGCACGCCAGTAACTTTTGCTGGCACGCGAAACCCTCTCTTATAATCTTCCATTTACAATTTTTGTGAACATTTGAATGACTTAAATGTTAAATTACAAGGAACTGGCAAGACACTTGATGTTATGTTTGGTTACATAAAGGCTTTTGAAAAGAAACTGGAAGTCTTTAAGAGGGATGTGGATGGTGAGAGATTTAGATATTTCCCAAACCTCAAGAGGCACATCAAAGACCTCCCAAAAGATGACAGAATAGACTGTCAAAGCCTTCAGAAGCTGTTTTTAAACATCATCGAGTCAACTATTGAGCAGTTCTTCTCAAGATTTGCGAAATTCAGAGAACTGGAAGAGACAGCAAAATGCATGAGGTTTCCAGACAGCATAAAACTGGAGGAACTAAACTTACAAATGTTTTCATGGGCAGACATGGCTGACTTTGAAATGTAGTTGATTGAATTTCAGAGTAGCTCAATTTGGAAGCAGAAATTTATTGACCTTAGAGTTGACTTGGAAAACATTGAAAAAAAGCGATTAGAGACAGGAATATCAGAGAGAACTGTCGAAAACAAACTATTGAGGTCTTGGAATGCCATTCCAGAAAATTTTTTCTGTTTAAAAAACTTTGCAACAGCGTTACTCTCCATGTTTTCATCCACATATGCTTGTGAATCTTTGTTCTCAGTGATGAATTTTGTTAAGTCTCATAATAGGAGTAGCTGACGGATGAAAGTAGTAGCTCGTGCATATCTCTGAAGGTCACGAAATATAAACCTGATGTAAAATCTCTGTCATCAGTGATGCAGCAGCAAAAGTCCCACTGATAATATCAAACGGAGTCATAAAGTTTTCTGTCGGACTATCAGTGTATATGTATACATTAAAAAAATGTGTTTTTCATCATCATATACTGTGTTTTTGTCACTCGAATGAATTTTATTATTTCTTCAAGGTTCTTCACATACATACACCTTAAGAGATATCAAGTAGGCGTAACATGTTCTCAAAAAATTAGGGTTGGCACGCAGAAGAGTTTTGAGTCAGAGATTTTGCTGGTTTTGGCACGCACTCACAAAAAGGTTGCCCACCCCTGGTGTAGGCTGTGTGTTCTATTGGTTTTAAGGCAGTAAATTCTAGCTTCAGCAAGGTGGAGGGAGACCCTGATAGACAGAAGGAAGAAAGCTCTCTTGATAAAGATACTAGCAAAGGGATGGCTCCAGTGAGTATAAAAGTACTTCCTTGTAATAGGTAAAATGGGGACCAAGCTGATTGAAATTTAAATATTAGTGCCCTGGCCAGGTAGCTCAGTTGGTTAGAGCATTGTCCTGATATGCCAAGGTTGCAGGTTCGATCCCTAGTCAGGGCGCATACAAGAATCATAAATACAGTGAATGCATAAATAAGTGGAACAACAAATTGATGTCTCTCTCTTTCCCTCTCTCTAAAAATCAATAAATACAAATAAAACAAGAAACATAAATATTAGAAAGAAATGTGATTATGTCCCTGATCATTCGTAATGTATTTTCTGGGCTTGAGCCTGTGATTCATGTCTCCGTGGGTCCTGGTGTTCTCAGACTCCAGAGAGCTGCAGCTCTGAGGTACCCAAGCCTTGCCCAAGATGTTCTGATGCACAGAACACACACGCACACACATGTGCGCACACAGGCACTCTCACAGATAAACGTAGGCACGTACACACACTGAGATGTGACTAATTTGGTACTGAAAGGAACACACAGCCAGTAAGTATGTGAAAAGATGCTTATCTTCACTAATAGTCAAGTGCAGAAAAAACCAACATTGAAATATCGTTGCCTATCAGATTGTCAAAGATTAAAAACACTGATAATGTATATACTGTTGGTGAGGGTCACAGGCATTCTCACACTTCTGGTGGGAGTAGGAGTTGGTACATTTTTGGAGGGTCACTTGGCAGTGTCTATGGATTTTTTTTTTAATGGTGAGATTTATTTTTCATTTTTATTATTTTAAAAAAATTGATTTTAGAGAGGGATGAAGAAAGGAGTTAGAGAGGGATGAAGAAAGAGAGGATTGATTTTAGAGAGAGAGCTAGAGAAAAACATTGATGTGAGAGAGGTACGTCAATGGGTTGCCTTCTGTGTGCATCCTGACTAGGGGATTGAACCTGCAACCTGGATATGTGCCCTGATTGGGAATCAAACCCACGACCTTCTGGTGTATGGGACGATGCTCCAACCGACTGAGTCATACCGGCCAGAGCAGTAGCTATAGATTTTTTAAAATGCTGAACCTTAGACCTACAATTCCACCGTAGCCATTTTTTTGTACAGAAGTACTCGTTCTGGCGATTAAAGATCCATGCCCAGAATTTTTCACTACCTTCATTTAAAATAGCATCTATACACTTGAAACTAATAGAATATTATATGTAAATTATATCTCAATAAAAATTCAAATAGCAGCCGAACCGGTTTGGCTCAGTGGATAGAGCGTCGGCCTGCGGACTCAAGGGTCCCAGGTTCGATTCCGGTCAAGGGCATGTACCTTGGTTGCGGGCACATCCCCAGTGGGGGGCGTGCAGGAGGCAGCTGATTGATGTTTCTCTCTCATCGATGTTTCTAACTCTCTATCCCTCTCCCTTCCTCTCTGTAAAAAATCAATAAAATATATTTTTAAAAAAATTCAAATAGCATATATAGGCAACAATCAAACAGCCATTGGCGGGATTATGAAACCACAGCATGTACTATCATTAAAGGCACAGGTGTGTTTTTGTGCTGACCTGGAAAGTGTTGAAATAGCCAGAGGCACAAGGAGGCTGTGAAGCTCAGAGCACAGTATGAGTCCATTAAGAATGCACCTGAGCCCCAGCTGGTTTGGCTCAGTGGATAGAGCATCGGCCTGTGGACTGAAGGGTCCCGGGTTCGATTCTGGTCAAGGGCACATGCCTAGGTTGTGGGTGTGCAGTAAGGGGTGTGCAGGAGGCAGCTGATCAATGATTCCCTCTCATCATTGATGTTTCTCTCTCTCTCTCTCTCTCTGAAATCAATAACAAAATTTAAAAAAATGTGCATCTGAGCTTAGAAATGTCTGGCAGGTCTGTGCCTGCCTTCTCACAAGGGCTACCCCTGCGGGGAGAGAAAAGGCAACTCCCACTGTTATTTCCTTCTGTACTGTTTCCTTTAACGGACACTGACTTTTTTTTATGTTTCCCGCCCTCTCCATCCTGGTGGCTCCCAGATTGCCTTGCTGGAGAGCAGTCTGCACCTCCGGTCTCAGAAAAGCCTGGAAGGGGACCAGGTGCTGCCCTGTGCCTGGCCACGGTCCTCGCCTCCTGGGACCAAGGTAAGGCACCCAGGGGTGTCCCCGGGGACGAATACAACAGACGCTCATCCACCAATCAATGGACAAGTCGCCAAAGTGCCCGGGGCAACCTTCAGCATCACAGGGAATCAAAGTGGTCCCACCTCATAATTCCTGGGTTTATGACGAGTGGTGACAGTCACCCCCCCCCCTGCTCCCCCACCCCCCTCCCCCCGGATGGCTGTTTCACTGCGCTCGTGGTTTAGGTGTGGGCGGCCTGTGTCAGCCTGCCGTGCGAGGCTGAGGCTGCGTCACCGCCCCCGGGCACTTATCTCCTGGATCAGGCCGAGGGGCTTTGCCGCCAGCACAGGGACTGTCCTGCCATGGGACCCAGCAGATGCGTCTGGGAAGGTGAGTGTGTAACGGGAACGTCCCACCCACTCATGTCAGCCCGCATCTCAGACACAGGGAGGGCCGGCAGCCGCCTTCCCCGGGCGTGAGCCCTGGAAGGGGGTGCCCGGGAGCACCCCCGAGTTCTACCTCCTCCGGTGTCCTTGCCTGGGCCACCTCCAGGGACAGCAGAGTGGCACTGCTGGCCACAGCTGGCACCTGTCACGTCCAGGCCTGTAGGGGCCGTGGGGGCCGCCGGGCAGAGGGCAGGGCACTGCGTTTGTCGGGCGGTTTCTCTATGGAAGTGGCTCTGCTCCCCCGGTGGCTGAGCTGAACTCTGGGGGCTCGGGTGGGTGCGATGGGCATTCCAGGGGATGGTCCCAGCTGTGCCCACGGGTGGAGGTGAGGTCCAGGCCCTGGGGTGGCAGTGTCTCCACATCCTCATGCCTTTGGGGGCTTTAGGGCGAAGAGGAGCGGGGAGTCTGGGGATAGCCCCCCGTGGAGCTGAGGGAGGGGCCGCGGTGGGGGTGGGATTTGAGGGTTTGTTCAGCCAAGCGGAGGAAGGGAGCAAGGTTCTTGCTCAATCATGTCCAGCGCGCCCTTCCCAGGAGCCCACAGCGTTCGCACTGACTAGAAGCAGGGCAGCTTCTGCAGGGGTTTCGGGGTGCGTTTCTTGAACATTTAGGGTGGGTGCAGGGGGCACAACATAAATCAGACAGGTTCTTGCCTGATGTGGGGGGCTGCAAAGGGGCAGCCAGGGCACTGGGGAAGGTGCTGGCAGGGGAGGGGTGTTAGATTCCCCGTTTAGCCTCCAAGACCCCCAAAGAGAACTGTGTCAACACCCTTATTCTAGCCCTGACCCATGGCTACTGCCGGCTTTCTGCTCCTGTTGTCTGCTGGGGAGACCGGCTGGGGCGCTCAGGGAGGGCTTCCCGGAGGAAGAGGCCTGTGATGGGGCAGGAGGCCAGGCAGGGGATCCGTGTGAGAAGGCCCGCAGGGAGCCAGGGTTGGAGCGCAGACCAGCAGGGACCCCGTGAGCTTCCGAGGCTCCCCTCTGCCCCTCTGACTCCATCCTCAGCCTCTCCCTCCTCTGCCCTGAGCCCCGCCCTCTGTGTGCGCCCTTACCCACCCGAGGCCCTGTGGGTCCAGCCCTCACCTCTCCCATAGCTCCTGCCCGCTGTGTCCATTTCCCCAGACATGCGCCCCTGATGGAGCGCCCCTCCCACTCACCATCCTGGGGGCCACCCTCCCCTTCCTGCAGCTGCCTTGACCTCTGCACCCTGTCCTTCCCACCCACTGAGCACCCACAGGAAGCACAGCGTCCTCGGCAGCTACTGCCCAGCAGCATCCGGGGTCCCATCGGTGCCATCGGGGCAGGGGGGGCCCACATGTGCTTGTGTGACCCAAAGGGGGAGGTGGGGTCCACTCCCACTTCTGGTCCCATTTCCTAGCTCAGTCCCCGCGTCCCCCAGGCTCAGTTCTGGGGTGGGGGTGGGGTGGGGCCTGCATTTATCCCTCCTCCCAAGCAGGAAGGACAGAGAGAAGACAGAGGACAAGCGCCCGTTTAATTAGCAGCGTCCACCTCACCCCCTCTGTCTGCCAGGGAGAATAGCAGGGGTATCGCTCCCTCTCCATGAAAACTAGAAAACAGATTCCGTGTTAAAGGGGCAGGAAGTGGGTGCAGTGACTGGTGTGAAGCCGACTGGAGGGGGTGCCACCAAGGATCCCAGGGTCCCCGCCAGCCCCCAGCCTGCCTGCCTGGGCTGGGCCGGGGAGCGGAGGGGCTGAGTGGTCTGGTCCTGTGGTGTCTGTGGGTCCTGAGGCAGGGATCCAGCTGCGAGGCAGCCCACGACTTTCGGATGGGCCAGGAAACCATGGCAGGCAAGCTGACCTGGACCCTGAGGCCACGGAGGAGATAGGGGCTATGGGGAGGGGCTCCCCACAGGACTAGAGGTCTTAGGGAGCATCTCTGTTCAAGGGGACGTCTCTTGCTGCTCTACAGCCACCCCTGAGAGTGATTGGTCCTCACGGCGTCATCCCAATGCCTCCTGCAGGACCAGCCAGTAAGCAGGAGGGGTTTCTGCACCACCTGGCCCCGTGCCTGTTGTCAAGGGCGGGGGTGGCCCTGCCTCAATAATGTCCCACCTCTCGATTGAGGAGCCCTGAAGAGAGAGACCAATGGTACCCTGTGAGCTCACAGGCTTGAATGGGAGCCAAGAACAGGGGTGCCAGGTGCCAGGTATTGGGCAGGTGCCTGGTTTCTCTGGGCTTCAGTTTCCTCATTTGTGGGAGGGTGGTGGCCCCACTCTAGCCAGCTCTCTAGGTATAGACAGAGGTGTTCTCTGCCAAGGAGAAGCAAGGACCCCCCCGCCCCCCAGGATAATCCCACCCAACCCTCCACTGCTCCCCAGGGCGGGTCCTGGCCCCCGGGCCTGCTGAGCTTGGAGCCACTGTATTCCATGCTCTTGAGCTCCTGGCTCCTGGATGAGCCTGAGCTGAGCTGGCCCGCTTCTGCACAGATGCACGTGTCCCTCCACCCTGGGGCCAGGGCCTTCTGGGCCCGAGCTCCCCCCGGGTCCTGGTGCTCGCTCTGATCCCGTCTTCACACGCCCCGAGAGTGAGTTGTGGTCAGGCGGCTCCCCACCTCCACCTGTGACTGAGCAGGAGGGGCAGACGCTGCAGACGAGCGCTGTGGCTAAGGGCACCGGTGGCACTTGGTTCTAGGGAAGGGTGAGGTCTTCCTGATCTGCACAGGGTCTGGCCTGTGGCTACATAGACAGTCTGCGGGGACACGGAGGCTTGGAGTGCTGTCTGCTTCCTGGAGCATGTGTGCTGAGGTCGGGGTGTGTCTGCAGCGTTTCGGCCTCCTTATCACCCATCAGGCTTGCGTAACCAGGCGGACCCTGCTTCCTGCCTGGGGGCTATCAGTGCGCCATCTGGAGCTGCAAACGGGGTGATAGGGTACCAGCGGCTTCCCTGCACGGCACCCAGGGACTGCCTAACACCCAGGCCCGAGTCCCCACTAACCTCTGCTCTCCCAGGGGCCTAGCACCTCAGAATGGGGTGTGGCACAGAGTTTAGGAGGTGCCCGCTGCTGCATGGACACCCCCTGCCATCCTCCGCCCTCCGGCAGCGGAGCGCTGGGACAGGCCGTAATTGAAGGGGACACGGGGAGAGAGGCGATGGTAGAAGTTGGTCATGTGATCCTTGGCAAGTCACTTCCCCGCCCTGGGAGCCAGCTCCCTGCCTCACAAGTCTGGTGGGAATTCCAGTGGGTAATGCACGTTCCACAGTCCACCAGGCAAGACCCCACGGAGTTCAGGATGGGACCTGGGCCAGGGCCAGGGGCTGGGCTGGCAGAGGACCTGGCCCCAGAGAGGAGCCTTCCAGGCAGACTCGGACACCGAGCTGAGTGTGAGGGTCCCCTCTTGTCCGCTGCAGCCTCGAGTCTTTGTCAGGTCGACTGACCTGAGCCTGGTGGCTTGTTGGTGCAGCTCGGACAGCGGTGCCCGACCGTGTTCACAGGACACGTGAGTGTGAAGGGGGCGAGCCACTCAGGGCACCGTGGGGAGCGCTCCTCACAGGGAGGGGCTCACGGGCAGCATCCCTTGCAGGTTGGACCTTGGAGAGGGCAGCCCTGCCGCGAGGGATGGGCACCTGGCTCCGGGTCTGCTTCTGGGTCGGCTTGGGAGTCTCGGTGCCCGGAGAAGGAGGAGGTGAGGGCCCTAGTGACCGCGTGAGGCGGGTGGGGGAGGCCGTGGGGCAGGCTGCCTGTCAAACTCCTCGGGGAGGGTGTGGCCGAACTGTGCTAGGACCTGCCCTCCAGGGACCAGCCTGGACTCCAGTCCCACCCACGTGCCATGGGCCAGAGCATCGCTGTCCAGACCTCCCAGCCCTGCCCTGATGAATTCTCCTGCTGTCATTCCCTGGGGACTGCCCTGTTAGGGTGTCAGCTTCCAGAGCCTCCCCTCCCGCTTCCCTGCCCGCAGCAGCCTCTGTGGGCTCCCAGTGGTCACTGCTCCCAGGGCCGGGGGCTGGAACCTTCGCCTGCCTCACCAACAACATCCTCAGGATTGACTGCCACTGGTCGGCCCCAGAGCTGGGCCAGGGCCCCAGCCCCTGGCTCCTCTTCACCAGGTGAGGGTGCGGGGCCAGGCCCACCTGGGCAGAGGGCAGGGGGAAGGACGGGGTCGCCGTGACAGCAGCAGGGGCCAGGCCGCCGCAGCAGCGTCTTGGTGCTGATGCACACCCTTTCTAGCAACCTCGCGCCGGACACCAAGCACAGGTGTGTCTTCCGGGGCAGCGCGTGCACCGTGGTCCTGCCGCCGGAGGAGGTCATTGCGCCTTCCGACAACTTCACCATCACTTTGCACCGTCACATCTCTGGGAAGGAGCAGGTCAGCCTGGTGGACCCTCAGTACCTGCCCCGGAGACACGGTGAGGCCTGGGGTGGGCACCTTGGCCGCTGCGGTCAGAAACATTCCTGTTGGGGAATCCGTGCCTCCTGAGTGTCCTGGGCCCTGCCAGGGAGCCCGGGCTGGGAGAGGCTGGGCCCGCGAGGGGAGGGGTTGGTTCCAAGGGACAATGAAGACACAGAGCTTCGAGTTGGGCCTGGGCTGCAGCTTGAAATGCACGTCAGTCACAGCAGGAAGGAGCCCCATGACACACAGCTCCTGAGGGAAAGGGAAGGCGGCCTCGAGAGTCGCCTTGTCTGGCTGCAGGGGCTGGAGGAGCCATTGCTGTGCTGTCTCACCTGGGGCTTCCCTGGAGCAGCCTCCCGTGAGGCCCCTGGTCTGCGAGGGCCTTGAACATGCCCTGGAGCCTGTCAGAGCCCAGCCCTGGGCAGCTCAGGAGCCCGTCAGACCCCCGTGCAGGCTGCAGGGGCCGTCAGACCCCGGGTACAGGCTGCAGGGGCCCGTCAGACCCCGGGTACAGGCTGCAGGGGCCCGTCAGACCCCCGTGCAGGCTGCAGGAGCCCGTCAGACTCCGGGTACAGGCTGCAGGAGCCCGTCAGACCCCAGACCCTGGGTACAGGCTGCAGGGGCCGTCAGACCCCCCGTGCAGGCTGCAGGGGCCCGTCAGACCCCCGTACAGGCTGCAGGGGCCGTCAGACCCCCCGTGCAGGCTGCAGGGGCCTGTCAGACCCCCCGTGTAGGCTGCAGGGGCCCGTCAGACCCCCGTACAGGCTGCAGGGGCCGTCAGACCCCGGGTACAGGCTGCAGGAGCCCGTCAGACCCCGGGTACAGGCTGCAGGAGCCCGTCAGACCCCGGGTACAGGCTGCAGGGCCTGTCAGACCCCGGGTACAGGCTGCAGGGGCCCGTCAGACCCCGGGTACAGGCTGCAGGGGCCCGTCAGACCCCGGGTACAGGCTGCAGGGGCCCGTCAGACCCCGGGTACAGGCTGCAGGGGCCCGTCAGACCCCAGCCCTGGGCAGGCTGGACGACACACTCACGTGGCCTCATCCTGTTCTAGTGAAGCTGGACCCTCCCTCCGACCTGCAGAGCAATGTCAGCTCCGACTCCTGTGTCCTGACCTGGGGCGTCAGCCTGGGCTTGGAGCCGCTGGCCTCGCTGCTCAGCTATGAGCTGGCCTTCAAGAGGCAGGAGGAGGCTTGGGAGGTAACGCTCGGGCTGGCCAGCTGGGGGCCCGGTCTCTCCTCATTCCACACAGGGAGAGGCTGACGGGGGACTCTGAGAAGGGAGGTGACCAGAGCCCAGAGAACGTGTGTGCACGCATGCCCGTGTTTGTATGTCTGTGTACGAGTGTGCCTGAGTATGCCTGAACAGGATATATGTGAGTGCTCACAGGCCATGCCTATGTGTATGCATGTAGTGAGGGCGGTGAGCATGTGCGAGTGAGCAGAGCGAGCACGCAGGTAGGAGAGTGTAGGCGTGTGCCTGTGGGTATGTGCGTGCGTACACGCGTGAGTGTGCCGTGTGCACATGCGTGTGGTGAGTGTGCCTCAGTGTGCGTGTGTACGTCCTCAAGGGCTGGCGGGCCCAGTCTCACCCTCAGCAACTGCTGATTGTCCTCCACCCCCTAGCGGGCCCGGCACAAGGGTCACATGTTGGGGTGACCTGGCTTATCCTTGAGGCTGTGGAATTGGACCCTGGTTCCACCTATGAGGCCAGGCTGCGTGTCCAGATGGCCAACCTGGAGGACGCCATGGCCGAGGAGGAGCGCTACGAGGGCCCCTGGAGCGAGTGGAGCCGGCCCGTGAGCTTCCTGTCTCACCAGAGACCAGGTGGGTGCTCGGGGCTGCTGTCCCTGGGGAGTACCGTTTGGGAGTCTCGGTTCCCCTCCCACCTTTTACTCCTGGGACCATCCCTGAGGCAGTCATGCCCCAGGCGAGCACAGCCCTGAGGTCTGAGGGGTGCAGGGAGGACGCAAACACAGCCGAGCTCGGATTTCCCAGGAACCTGGAGTCCTGGCTCAGCTGGGGCGGGGGGTCGGGGGGGTTGGGGGGGACGGCCCACGGCTGCCCCAGGCCTTAGGGAGGGCTGGCGGCCCTGTGCACAGGGTGCTGGCAGGCTCCCTGACCCGATGGCCTGGCAGGAGGGACGGTGAGGCCAGGGTGCACGAGTCACCCAGGCGCTTTAGCAGGCATCGTGCAGACCTCCAGGCCCATCCCAGCTCCCCACGCAGGCCCGGGGCACTTGGGGGGGTCTTTGCCACGTGGGTTTGGGGGAACATCCTGGTGCTGAGACTGCTCACAGCTCTGGGCCCTTCCTGCTCTCAGGCCGCCTGGTCTCGCCTCTGAGGCAGCCCGACAGCACCTTTGTCGCCATGTCCATCTTTCTCCTGCTGACCAGCCTGACCTACCTCCTGTTCAAGCTGTCACCCAGGTCGGTACCCAAGGGCTGTGCCTGTGGCTGTGTGCATGTTTGTGAATGTGTTATTGTGTGTATTTGCATGTGCATGTGGCTGTGTGCATGTTTGTGAATGTGTTATTGTGTGTATTTGCATGTGCATGTGGCTGTGTGCATGTTTGTGAATGTGTTATTGTGTGTATTTGCATGTGCATGTGGCTGTGTGCATGTTTGTGAATGTGTTTTGTGTGTATTTGTGTGTGCATGTGGTGGTGTGCATGTTTGTGAATGTGTTTTGTGTGTATTTGTGTGTGCATGTGGTGGTGTGCATGTTTGTGAATGTGTTATTGTGTGTATTTGTGTGTGCATGTGGATGCGTGTGCGTGTCGATGTGTGTGGTAAGTGGGGTGCGGAGG